CCTACAATAATTCTCGCAAAAAATGAGACCTCAGACCATTGGGGAATCAAAGCTTTCTCCATTTACTTCAGCAAATAAAGAACAAAAAGACACAATCTATACAAGTACAAGAGAAATTATATATCTCAAACTGGGTCAACATGGCATTTTGAGTTGAAGAGCACCAGCACAATAGTTATTCACATAACATCAGCAACAACATCTCCAATTAAAGAATTAAGATTTAAATTAGTGAAATCTGTGGGCGTAACTAATCTTACATAGGCAATAGCATCACCAAAAAATGTATAAATAAGAACAAATAACATTTCAGACTAGTACATATAGGCATGAAGAACAGACTTTTTGTTTTGTTTTCACTGAACTGCCGGACAACTGATAATTTCTCTCCACATCATTCTAAGAAAACAGTTTTGTCTTTAGCAGTTCCAGACAAATATGCGAGGTTTTTACAATGGTAATCTTCTACACTTTTTTCCCTCTTCCATTTCTCTTTGCTGCTTTTCTATCACTTCAAAAGGCCAAATGAATGATTTCAAGGCAAAATGAGATGTATTTGATAAGGACATGTTAAGGTATCTAGCTTCTTCCTTCAAAGAGTTTATAGAAAGATAATAAATAATCCATCACTTTTTGGAAGAAGATATTTTGGTTTCATGTGAGATTTCATTTTACAGTTAGAAAGGTTACTGATTTGTCTATTCTGCATGTAATTTTTACGAGAAATTAATTGTGGTCATATCTCAGGAAGCCAAAAAAAAACCCCAAAATAAATGCCAAAAGGAGAGATAAGCTGGCTCTAAATGATCAAAAACAGGACAAGACAGCCATAACATGTGTCAAGACATGATGGAATCAGGAGCTCATCAATTTCTTGGCATATAATGGAGTTATTGGTATAATCTTCAAGCCTGTCCATTTGCCTTGCTTTTGATGAAAAAAAACCCTACCTATCTGCCTTGAGTAGAGGAGGTCAAGATTTTTGTGATTGAAGGAAGTGAGGTTGCCTGGTGTCAGAGGCAGCATAACATAAGCAAGAAAGTTGCCACCAAGGTTTAGTGACTTCCAAAGCTGGATTGTCTTTGGAAACTGCAAACTTATATTTTTTGTGCCTTTGATCAACATTTCTCTGTAAAATCCACGCCTGAATATATATATATTAAAAGACATAAAAGATGTTAAGCCCAAAACAAACCGAAAAAAGACAACATTCCCCAATTGGTAGGAAAAAAAAGTCAGTTTCTTTGGTTTCTTTATTTTGACGAGTGTCTGCTTTCCCCACGATGCCATTACACTTGTTTGAGTCATGAGAGAAATTATCAACAAATAAGTGATTGCTTTCTTATCTGAAAAACATGTTTAATGTCCAGAATGTTAAATGGCAAGAAAATGAACTGTTCAAAACAAAAGCCAGCACATATATTTATAAATGACTCTTGGACGGAGGGGGTTTATCATCACAACCATGACTTAGTGCATTAGTCACTTTCGGAGGGTGGTAGAATAACCTATAAACAAGCTAAACATTTGGACCACATTACCAAGTAAACAAACATTGACAAATCTGACTATCTATCTGGACTGGTTACCTTTCGTGTAAGTCACACATATGACTTTGGTAAATGGTGAAAATGGTATAGGTATGAAACCCTTATCAACACTATTAGGTCCTTTAAGAGGCGGGACCTCCAAGTTTAACATCCATCTCCTAAAGGACTGAGCCAAATGGGAAATTTGTGTAAAATGCCTCCCCAAGGACACAACGTCGTGACTTTGGAAGTAAGAATCCTTACTAAACCATGATGTCACAATAATGAACAATGACTTGGGAATCATGACTTGCATCATGATCAGGATATTACACGTTTAAGAGACGTGGCTTGAATGACAAGTTTGATGAGCTATCTGACCACCTCCTTCGATTTTGACCTAAAGGTTTTAGGTATGGGAAGCAGATCTACACAAAATAGCATTAGATGTTGCTCTGGAAATGCCAACGGTCAAAACATTTCAGGAAAAAAGAGGTTGCCATGTTTTTCCTATCTGTCAGAACAGCAGGAGGCACTAAGCAATTACATCAGTTTTGTCCAATTTGTACTCAGTCTGGAAAATAAATCTCTAAAACAAAGCATGTGACGTTCCCCATGTTATGATCAGCATGAAAAAAAAAAGATACATAATGTACAAGAATAATCGCCTCATTATGGGATGAAGCCAAATCAATATACAGCACTTCAGTTCATTAAAAATATCGTAAAAAGGTAAAAATATAAAGATTATACAAAAAAAGAAGCAAAAAGGTTACATCTGTTCTTGAAACAGAATTGAACACGACACAATGGTGGGGAAATATATAACAGGAAAAACATTCATATATACATAAACATTTCACTCCACTATATCAGCACTCACGAAAGAAAAAATTATTTCATTATAACAGACCCGATTTGTAAAGAAAGAAAAGATATTGGAAAGAATCACAACCTTTCTCAGAATGTAAAAGAACACATCCTTACGTAGATTCGGTAACAGACACATTTGAACTCAAAGAAATAGGCATGATCAAGAAAAAAACCGGAAGAGACAGTGAAACATACAGTTGTCTTTCCATCCCTTAAGATGAACAGAAAAATAGAACACCCCAATAAAGTATGTCTTGTTAAATCTAGAAAGAAAAGTAATTCTGAACCGCATACAATAATAATAGTAATAGATAGCATTTGTAAAGCGCAAATCCCCGCTCAACAGCAAGCTTTATGCGCTTTACAATCTATACTATTACCTCAGCAGACCTGAGAGCTTTCTGAAACAAGCTCAACTTCCTGGGAAGCATACAGTGCAAGCGGCCATTTATAGGCGCTAAAACACAAACATACTGACAAGATCTTTCGCTGTCTATGGCCGGGTACCCATTCCATTCCCACCTGGGTGAAGTGAGGAAAATTCGTGTAAAGTGCCTTTCCCAAGGACACAACGTCGGGCCCGCGGCTCGAACCCTCGAACCTACAACCTCACAATTACTCGTCCGGTAGCCTAACCACAGGGCCATTGACACCACTACAAAACACATTTCCATAACTACTGACATAACTACCTTTTGCTTGTTTGTTTTAATAAAGTTTTACAGTGCTCGAAACAGCATAAGATAAAAACCTTTCAACATTTAAAAAAATGAAACTAATGAAAAAATTTCTTAAAAGATATTTTAAAAACATATTGATTTTACGCAATGCTCGAATGTCCTTTTACAAAAGGAAACAATGATGACCTTTCCATTCCATTAGAGGCCATTTTTCATAGAACAAAGCAAATATTAGCCGCACTGTCACTAGATATCTTTCTAAAAGTTTAAAAAAAAAAAAAATCAGTTAGGTTTCCAGGTTCATTCAAATGTCACAGTAAATATAATTCCTTAACAGTCACAAGTCATTGCTCTGCAAATTGACGAAACATTACAGCAAACACTGATGGTTACAAAACATAACATTCTAAAGGGAAAAGTTTATAGAAAACAAATTAACCCTATCCGTACGTCATGTTTTACTATCGTATCCATACGACATGGGGAACTCTGTGCCACCACTTTCCAAAGAGGAAATTTACTCCTTAATCCGATCCGTACACTTTCCATAGCAGTCTGTCAAAATGATCTTTTGAGAAACACTGAAAGTTTCAAAGAGATCTTCGTACTAGAGGTATTGTAAAATGAGAAGAATACAACTCCGGGGGAACATAATGACCCCAGAGCATACAGATAGAGTTAAGTATCACATGCACATGTCAAAATGTCAGCAGTTAAATAAGAATATCTATAGTAAAGTCTTGCCACCAGTGATAATAAAGCTTCTGTAAGCATGAATGACATGGCAGCACAGCAGTTACATGGAAACTTTGACATTAAACTCTTCGTTCTCATCTTCTCAAACTACTCATTCATTTTTCATCCTGAAAGTGTTGCTATGGCAAAAAACTCTCCCTCTCTCTCTCTCTCTCTTATTCTCTCTCTTGATCTCTCTAGCCCACATATAGCGTACGTGCCCATGGTGAAATATTTCGTACACACTTTCAGGTCCTGAAGTTTTTCTTACATTTTCAAGCATTTTAAAATGTACACAGTAAAATTCATACAAAACAAAAAGATATTCGCTTCCTGCTAATTTTGCTCTGCACATGCTAGACTTTGTATATTTTCAGTATACAAACATATTCTCTCTCTTTCATTTTGATGCATGATCATTTCTCCTTTCAAAAACGTTCAAATACTATAAAGTTTGTCAACTCTCATTGGTATTTGTCCTTTCAGAAGCAAGCAGAAAATACTTTACATAATCATCTGTACTTTCCTTGTCAAACAGCTCTTTGATCATTTGGTCAACATTTAACACAACAACAACCTCAGGTCATGCTTATGACAAGTAAATAATAACACAAAGCCTTTGCTTGGCTCTAATTCCCTTTCAACAGTAAGTTCTTTGCTCTTTATAATCTATATGTGAGGCAGCGTGGTGGAATCAGGCTCTCGTCAATTTTTGGGCATGTAGAGTTATTGGTATCATCTTAAAGCTTGTTCACTTGTCTTTATTTGGAAGAAAAAAATATGCATTTATCTTGAATACAAGTCGAGATATTTGCGATTCAAGGAGGTGGGGGTCACCTGTTTTCAGAGGTAAAATTAGTGAGAAAATGGCCTCCAAAGATAAGTTATTTCCTTATCTTAATAGTCCGTGGTAACTGAAAATTTACATTTTGTGTGCCTTTAATCAACGTTTTTCAGAAAAGTCCACACAGAAATTAGTTCTTTAATGGGCATAAAAGGTATTGAGCCAAAACACAAAAATTTGATAAAAATTCACAAACCTGCGGAAAAATGCAAATTTCGTCACTTTGACTATTTTGACGAGAGCCTGATTCCACCACGCTGCCTCACATATCATCATCATCCCTGCATACCAGATAACATTCTGAAACAATCTCCGTTTCCTGGTTAGCATACAGTGCAAGCTGCCATTTTCAGGCGCTCAAACATCAACACACTGACAAGATCTTTTGCTTTTTGCTGTCTATGGCTTGGTACCCATTCACACATGGGTGAAGTTAAGAAAACTCATGCAAAGCACCTTTCCCAAGGACACTGTGTCAGGTCTGAGCCTTGAACCTCCTAACGTGCATCATCACAATTAGGCTACAAGGCTACATATCCAGTAGCCTATCCACTAGACTACAGACGCCACAATAACACCAATATAATACTGTGAATCTCTCATAGTTCCCCCCGCCCCCTTCCACACAAACCCCCACCCCAACTGACCCCCTCAACAGCTTTCAGAGATATTTATCCTTCTCACAGTTAACAAGCAATAGCCCCAAACCCTCAGAAGTAGTGCTGGTCCTGAACAACCCACTCACAAACTCAAACACTGTACAAGCGTGACTCTCTCGGTGTCACATATTATCCTCTGCTCCTTCGACACTACTCTGTGTGACTGTCCTGCTCCTGGCAGCAAACACTGGTCTCACCAGCTGGGTGTCCATGTGTGAGAAGTAAACCTTGAGGTTTGTGTAGGCGTGACGGGCCACCAACTCCTCAATGGTTTCAAACACTGCACCATCAACTCTGAACCCAAAACCTTCTCCCTTGGGGTGGAAAATGAAGCAATGATTCACTTCTTGAGTTCCTTCTTCTTTACTACAGCTGAAAGTAAAAGGAAAAAAAATAGTGGATAAAATAAATGAACCGAAGAAGTTTTGTGATAGATGCTGACTTCACTATTTGTGATTTAATCTTTAAAATAAAGGAAGCCTAATTTTGCCTTCACACTTTTCTTCTGATTTCACAAACTTTCATATATATTTTGATCCGCAGCTAGTATCAAACTTGACCTACTATGCACACCCCTGGTCTCTTCTTTCTATGAAACCAGTTACAAACTATGAAACTCTAGTACGAATGTCCTTTGAGCCTGATTCCCTTCTTCAAAGTTACACAAGACTCCTCGTAATGTGCAACCTTTTTTTCTTCTTTTCATCCATGAGTATCCGTCTTAATGAAAGAATGGAAGGGTAACAAATTTCCCACATAAAAAACCCCCCAAAAACCAAAAGAAACATCTACCACTTTAATGATGATGCTATTTAGTTCTGTCAATAAGCAAGAGATACCCCAGATTTGGAGCTGCGAAGGATGTTACCTTTTAACAGCTATAATTTTAAAAAATAAGTCAAATATTGATGGATTTGTTTGAGCACTCAAACCATTTGCAATTGGACAGAGAATCACAATATGAGTGAAAAAAGGTAGTGAATGTAGCACAGAGTAAACAAAAGAAGAAAAATGTAGTGAAAAGTAAGACAAACAGCAAAAACCGAGACAGTAATTTTTAAACTCACCAGCAAAATCCATCCAATAGGCAGCAAAAAAAATATATAGAATGAAAGTTCATTCATTGTGGACAGACAAAGTCAAATTACAACTGCAGAGTAGCAAAACTGTTTATTTCACAAGCAAGTGAATATAATATCATTATGAAAATGTGATGAAAGGTCCTTCTTAAAGCCCATAACAAATATTATTGTCCCCTCTTCCCTAAAACCTGTTATTACATCAAAGGGCATAATGATAGGCCTCAAAGCATGGGGTGGATTGCAAAAAAAGAAAGACTGGTTTGGGCTCTCTTTGCAGAAGAATTAGATCCTTTTCCTGTTTGTCGGGGAGTTAATCGTCAGCAACTGCACGGAAAGCTGGTGAAATGGTGAAACGATGTAGGTTTAAAGCCCTTTCTGACACTATTAGGTTATTTCAGAAGTAGGGTGAAAAGCAGGACTTCACCATCGTGAAAGACGATTGCTTTTCACACTAGCCCTGGTGTTGTTTGAGGAAGTTTGACATCAGGTTGCATTTTCCTTTCTCTGAAATCAGTTCATGCTTGAATTTCAAGAATGGAGTTTCCTGACCCTTTGTTTTTATGTAAATGATGTGGGCATTGGCCTGACTGACCTTAAAAGCCAAATAGAAGATCCCCCCCCCCCAATCATTTGATGCTCAACGTGGCCTCTACCCAGGTGCAGAGTGAGAAAGGCAATGATGATTTGAGGCTCCTTCTGTTGAAAGCGCCATAGATTTGGACAGCCTAATTTACCCTGCCCCATCCATTCACACTGAAATAAAACTAACAAGTAAAAAACACCCATCCATCCAATGTGGTCTAAGAAAAATAAACATTGAAAAAAAAACCTCTACTCCTATGGACTTACACAACAGACAAAGCATATGGCTTCTGTGGCTCTCCCCTGGGCCTTATGATGAACGTCCCCACGTCCTCATCTCTCAGCTTGGCCTCCGCTTCCTGCCTGGAGCACTTGACCAGCCACAGTGCCGGGTCCCAGGTGTGCTCCAGGTACCGGTTGTCCAGGAGACACTCCACAAACTCGGGCTTGGCTCCACAGTCCAGCAACTGCCTGCCAGAGTGCACAACAATGGCATGTTCTAGTAGGAGTTTTACAGCACTTGAGAGATTTCAAGATTTCAACAAGATGATTTTATTGATTTGAAAGGCCTTTGGCCCATGCATCCACACATTATAACATACGACTCAGCAAATGCATAAAACATAAGCAAAGAGAGTGAGAGACAGAGGGAAGGAGAGAGAGAGAGAGAGAGAGAGAGAGAGAGAGAGAGAGAGAGAGAGAGAGAAAAGAAAGAGAGTGGGGGAGGAGGATCAGTTCCTGATGATGTTCAGGAGCTGCAGACAGTTTTTAAAAAATCCTATTTCAATTTTGAAAGAAATGGACCAAAACAAAGCTCAACAGGTCATGTCTACATACGATGTCAGTAGAAAAGGGAAAAAAACTACCGGCAGTACAATTTTGACCTGCAAAACAGAACTCGAATGTAACAAGTACTTACTCCTTAATACGCTCACAGTCCTCCTCTTGATCTCCTAATATGGTAGCGTGTTCGTTGATGGCAAGAATAATCATGTACAGTTCTTCCTCTTTATGCTCCATTTCTTCGTGTGCGTGTTTTACACGCTCAGACAACTTCATATGTCTCTGCATGGACAGGGACCTGCTCTTTTCTAGCCTGTGAGCATGAAACAGAGATGAAAAATGATTAGTCATTAACTTATAAAAATTTTGGGTTTAGGACAGTTTTTTAAGGTATACAAGGAGTATGTACAAATTAAATTTCTAGGAAAGTCAATACAGTAAGTGTTATCATCATTGCCTTTCTAAAAAAGGGTCAGGGTAGAGGTCATGAACAAACATTTTCCATTTTTGCCTATCCCAGGCTAGCTTCTTGATGTTGTTCTAAGTCTTCCCACTTTTCGGTACACCAATTTCTGGGACTCGTCTCCAGTTTCACGATGTTTTAATAAGTGTTATATATCAATGGAAAGGTTATTGAGTGGACTACGATTCAAGATGCTAACCATTTATGTAAGAAGTCTCAATTGCCTATGTGACTTGCTGCTTACTGTGTATACAAAAATAAGACTTTTTTTCTTATCTTTACATACCACAGGCTTGGGACAACACTGCGACGAGCGCCAAATTGCAATTTTACAGGAGAGACAAAAAACAATCTCATTTTCACAATTGTGACAATAAAAGCACGAGATTCAGATATATTAATGCGGCCGTAACGTCGCACGATATGCTGCAAACGTCTTTTTGTTTCACAGTTAAATTGCGGAGAAAATTGAGGAAGATGGCACAAGTCGCAATTTTGCTCTGTGCAACATTGCAACAAGAGCCCATCGGAGCTAAAATCGGAGCGTACTTTTGCGACAAAAGCCCTAATGGCATTGTTGCCCCAAGTTAAAAGTAGAATAAGGTTTCTCTATTCTGTTGAAGCAATGAGGTTTGTCGCTTTGTTGCACGGAACTTAACCGAGATCAGTGCCTTTAGGTTTGAATCATACATCCAATTTGGGTCCGAATGTCATTGGGTTCTTTTACCTATAACAAAAATTGATCCTCAAAGTCTGGAATTTGCTATTTTGCAACTACCTCGCCTGGCATCAGCACATTGAGGTTTGCAACTCAGTAGATAAGACGGGTATGGTTTTGGTTCATAGTGACTGATTTGGGCCTTCCAGCTATATAAATAACTTTGATTAGGAGACTGGTAGTGGTTGTTGAGTTCCTAGCGCATTTTCGAATCTAGGATCAAGTTCTCGGGCGTTTGATGCCTCAGGGCACTAATCAGAACACATGAGTCATCGTCAAGTACACAGCCCCAAAATGGATAGGCCCCACATTTTTCATTACATATTCAAGGGAGTTTTTGCTCCAAAACTGAAATGAACAAGAATGATGGTGCTGCGTTACGATAAATTATTAATAATAAAAAAAAACCTCAGGATATTTTTATTCAGTATCAAGGTTTAATTAAATTTTCAAACAGTATCTTAACTGAAACAACTCAATAGACCCAAACTATATGGAGCCATGAAAGGACCAATGTATGTATAAACGAATGAAAATGCATAATCAAATGACTGACTGACTGAATGAATGATTAGATACATGAACAAATAAATGAATGACTGTATGAGTGTGTGAGTGAGTGAGTGAGTGAGTGAGTGAGTGAGTGAGTGAGTGAGTGAGTGAGTGAATGAATGAATGTATGCATGAATGAATGAATGAAGCAGACCAGCCACTCTATGAAATCTAAAAATCAGGATCTCAGTGGGAAAGAAACGGGATTTGGTGAAAAAGATCGGGATCAACGACGAATCAGCGAGGCGACTGCCAAGCTGACAAAATGTTTCTGGGGTGTCCATAAATATTTCCAAGTACATGCCCTGTGTGTGTGTGTGTGTGCGTGCGTGCGTGTGTGTGTGTGTGTTTCATCATATTTTTTTTAAAATCCTGAAGTTTCACATCAAGCACTCCTAGTCCACGTATCTAACATCCCCACCCCCACAGTAAGTCCCGAAAGACACCTCAATCCGTGTGTATGAACTTTTGTTGACCCGTCAACGGATGCTCCCTAACACACACGGAGCTCATGCGACGAGGTCAAGTCACATGACGCGAATGTGCAATTGACGGGTCTTGGTGACTGACCCGACTAAGCAGAACTCAGACAAAGCTTGCTTTGAAAGTAAAAGTAGAACTACAAATGATCCTTTAATGTCACAATTGAAAGAGTTATCAGGCCATCATTGGAGAATTCTGAGTGGAAACAAAAACTAAAGTAGATCTTGAGAATATCCCAAGTCGGAATGCCAAAACGATACTGCGCGCAACAGACGGAACAAAAAATCGATATACACATAATCGAAATCGGGAAAATCGGGATGCTTGAGATTTGGGGCAAAAAATAGGGAATATCTCAGACCTGCCACTCATTCCGATTTAATTTTAAGAAAAAAAGTCAAGATGGAAGATAGGTGGGAATGATTTGGGCAAATTGCAACACCCATGTAAGCATGTTCTTAGAAGTAAACTGAACTTCCATCAAGAAAATTAATAACAAAACCACGCTGAAGATACTTACATTTTCTGTTGTTCCACTGTCAGAGGTATCATATCTTCATAGTCAGACATTCCTGAATCTGACCCAAGAGCGGGCTCATACATGTCACGTGCTGTTTCTAAAGCTTTTTGTTTCATCATCGCTAACTGCAGAGCCTGTAAAAATCAAAGAAATTTTACTAAATGGCCCGAGAACCTGAAAATTTGGCTTTTACATCCTATGTTTTCAGTGAAAATAGATATGCATGCCTGCCTGGAGATAGGAGTCACTAGACACATTTGCTAGAACTGAGTTACACAGACAAGACAATTGAGGTAAAAAAAAAGTTGACTTTTTTTACAAAGGGTGAATACCATTTAAAAAGATTCTTTAGCCATTTATCTACAGATATATGAAAGGATTTACACTTATTTTATGCAAAAAATTTTTTTATACAGATGCAGTTTGACGTAAGTCATCTCACGTAATAAAAAAAAAAATTGCACTGCGGCAGAAGGTTTCTATAACCCATTAATTGAAACAAACCCTATCATACTGCACATAAAACGTTAGGTCAGCTTGCGAACTTTCTTGAGCTGTAAATTGCACTTAAAGGCATCAAAATAGTTAAGGATAGGAGGTTTTAGTTTTTAGTTTTAGTTAGAGTTTTGCGGCACTTGCAACACGATACAGTCATATAAGTGCTGAAGATTAGAGGTGTTACAAGAGAGTAACAACCACAAAAAGGAAAAAGGAGAGATCAGGACAATAGATGCTTGAAAGGAAAGAAGGAACAAACCACAGTAGAGCACCCGCCAACAATTCACTGGGAGGTTTTGCTCATTAAGGGGAGGTGGCTAATGAAAATGCCAAAACTCAGTTCCAACCATCTTGTAGCCACTTTGTATACATCAATGGATACATACACTTTTAAAAAGAGGTTTTGTGAAATAAAAAATTCATTTTTTATTTTTTTGTTCCTGTGGCGGCAAAAAATGGCGCTGATTCAGCAAAATTTCTTTATAGTTTATAAACAGTGTTTCTACAAAACCAATAAAGATAGAAGCCTCATACTTGGTATATATGTTATATATTGCTTGCTTCTCCTCCTTACAGAATCAGATTTCAAATATCTATCATACGTTTTCCAAATTTTACCCTCACTTTGACCAATGTTCAGAATTCCATATTAGGCGATGCTGAAACGCAAAAATGCCAAATAACTCAAAACAGAATCAATATTCAGGAAAAGTGCTCTTGTAAGGAGGAGGGCACTTATCTTGGGAACAATGTGTGAAAATTTCAATGAAATCTGACTGTTAGTTATTGAGATACACTCTCTTTAAAGTTACCAGTTAGCCGAAAATGCAATTTCGAGAAAAACGCAAACAAAGTTTTCGAAACATTGTGCAATCACAAACATCTCGGTTTTCGCTAAAATCCAACATTATTCAGCAACATACACCACGTTTACACAGCACAGGCTATTCAAAAAGCTTTTTTCACCAGTTTTTACATCAATTCCATGCTCCCCCCTCCCCCCCAACTGTCCTCTCACAATTGAATCTCCGCCCCAAGAATGTAAACTCTCATGCTTTCAGTTTCTGTTCTTAAATGGGAGAAGAAGCTAAAATATCTATGTAAGGTAATAGCAGGACATTCAAGGGCTTGTGTGAAAATTTCAACCAACTCTGACTGTAACTTTCTGAGATCTAATCAAAATAGTGCCACAGATTTGGCAGAAAAGTTATTCCAAGAAAAACGCGAATAAAGATTTTGCATGCTGACATGCCCGTCTAAATTTATATGTTAATGTTGCCATACTGAATTGTTTAGGTAAATTGAGTTTGTTGTTAGTCTTTTCCACATTAAGAAATCTTTAAATGATTTGGCAGGTGACTGCCTTTCTTAGAATTAGAAGAGTCGAGACTGTCGCGCCCCCCCAAAAAAGCTGCTACCTCCCCTTCGTTTTCTTCCCAAGTTTTTTGGTTTTGCAATGGTGGAATCTAAGACTTTGCAACCAAGAAAGGCACACTGTAAGCTGGCACTACATGATACTATCTAATCTAGATCTGTATATTTTCTCAATTAATTTTATCCTATCTAAATCTAGATCTATATATTTCTGCACACTCGCTTCTTTCAATCTTGCTTGAAGGGGTCAACCGGCTTTGGGAACACTGGTCTCCGATTTTTAAAAACCCAAAAATAATAAAGTAAAAAAATTGTTTTAAATAACACTAGGCCTTAGAAATTTCTATTGCTAGATCTAGATCTGTGCTAAACAGACTTGTTCACTGCAAACAACCGGAGAGGCTAGGGAAGCCATCAAAACAAATTTATCCTAGATTTAGATCTAGATTCTAATTCTATAACTTTGTCGATCGAGGGCAACACAGATCTGTAGATCTATACTTTGAATACCCCAGCCATATAATCATGGAAAGTACTGAAGGCTATTATGTATTATATGTATAATCTCAACATTTTAGATCCTGGATTAGCTCACTCAAAACGACAAAGACTAAGACATCGAATCGAATCACGATCAGATAGACAGACGAGAGAAGATGAATAAGAGGGAGCATATGTGTTTGGGAGGCCTTGTCGGGCCGAAATACTACACAGAATTGCAAATGGAGATGATAACAATAATTATTCAGCCGGTAAACAAGATTTATTAGCGTTGAAATCGGCAACACGATAGAAAACTCTTTGAAATGCAGCGAAAACGTTCACGTTCTGTCTTGCGACACGCAGTGTAAACAATGGCCAGCGAGGGGAATCCCCTTCGTTGCTATCGGCTCGGCGAATGAAAATTCATGGTCCGATCATGTGACGGAAGTGGCCAACCGGTATTTGGTACGGGGTCTTCAAACATACCTAAATGGGTCCCCAGAGTAGTTCCGTACGAAAACGAAAGTGCAATAATCGAATAGTTCTTATCACGGCCTTTCCAACGATACCAAACATGATTACCTTGCAGCCACGGAAAGTGTTGTTGTCAAGGGGTAAAGTTTAGCATTTCTTGACGTTTTGTTTGAATTTTTTTGCCCCCCCTACCGCTTTCAAATACATTTTTATATATTAGAGGTCTCTTTAGGTTTTGGGACCTTCACAAACGGATTCTTGACATATTTTTCTGTAAGAATATCCAAATACTCGAAGTTCCATTTTTTTTTAGCAAATACCCGATTTTCTAGGGGATCGAGACCCGCGGATCCCCTTAAGCCATTACACTTCATGAGCAAAACAAAAGCACAAAGCCACTCACATTATTGATACTCAACTGTTGCTCCATCAACCTTGTGTACTCTTGACGAGCCTTGAACAGCTGCCTTCCACGATTAGCCAGAATGAACAAAGCTTCGTACAAGTTGACAGTCGTCGTCTCTATCTATAAAAAAACCAAAAATCACAACCTCAACATCGATAACGGGAAAACATTACATTGTTGTCTCTATCTGTACAAAAACAAAAACACAACGAAAGACGAATGACAGGAGACAGAATTATTGGGGCTATCATGAAGGACACTGACATTAACAACTATTTTCTTCTATAACTTTGTCACTTTTTAACTTATTGTAAAAAATACGGAGGTCAAAATTTATTTTTACGGATTATAGAATAGACAGTGTAGGATTATGAAAATGACCAATGGTGAAGAAAGGCCAAACAAAAGGAGAAGACAAGCTGTGATATGATTGCCTACAATACGAAACTAAACTAGGAGTAACTAACGACTCTCATGCTACGCATGCGCATACCTTGTATCGCCCTAGGTTACCTAGACTTCGTAAATAAACAAGGCTACTTGCTCAACGTACGCTCGACTCTCACTGTCTACAATCTAGACATATATCATATCATTACACAAGCCACTATCAAAGACAGTGGTGTGTCCTCAAAGTAGCAACACTAGAGCAACCAGTGCATCAGTCTTTGGTATAGAATTAGTTTGAAGGGTAAAAGTGGTTCAGTGCCGAAGGGTAAAAGTGGTACAGTTCCAAAGGGCCAACTCTGAATTTTTTCTTTTGGTTAAATTTAGTTTTATTAGTTTTAGTAAAAGTTTTACAGCACTTACAACACAAATAGGTCATATAAACGCCGAAGATTCAAGGTTTATTAGAGAGTAACATACAACAACAACAGACAAAAAAAAACAGGGGGGGGGAGATAAAGATGATATTGATGCATGATATGGAAGAAAGTAAAACAACAGCAGAACACCCGCCAAGATCCTGACAATTTTGCTATATATATCCTTGAAGAAAATTAAATAAAACTACTATTATGGCAATCAAGTTCTTTCTGAGCTTAGCCTCCAAAGAATTTGGAGCCAAGTTAATTACCGTAGTTCAATACATAGGTAATTCTTGTTCTAACCTTCTGTCTATTGTGTTTATCACTCTCTTACTCTCCGGTAGGAAAAGTGTTAAAAACAATAGTTCATCTCAGCTGAAAGAGTAAAAGGTGAAAACAATACAACAACAGACCCTTCTGATGGGATACAAGAGATGTGTAGTTAGCCGCCTGTTGAACTCTGCTAATGTGTGCTTGGTGTGGTGGTCAATCAGGCCATTCAGTGAGCCAAACTTCAGATCAGTCAGCTTGAAGCCAAAGAGTCCATCCCTCTGGTAGATTTTCAAACATCTGTTCTGCCCGTCTTGTCTGCAAAGGAAAATAGAATCACAAAGTTTTAATGTTCTGTTCTTTTTTCTGAGGTGAAACAAATCGTATTCGATCATAATTAAACAAGACTATAAATCAAACAAATTCTGAAGGATAAAAATAAAATTTCTAAATTGTTTTCTACACTCCATGACAACAGGATAACCACTATATGAGTAGATTACTGTAATCCAAACCTACATTCATTTCTCATGGGACAAGAGTATAATTTATAAAAAGAGTTCAATATACCATAGAGATTCAAAGGTCTCAAGGTGAAAGATGTAATAATCATATCCAAGTAATTCAGAAAAAGTGAAAAAAAAACCACAATGAATGGGTCAAGATGGAAAACCTAATTGAAGTTTAATAAACAAAATGATACTGGGGGAAAAATGTAAACTGCCTTCAGAAAATCAATTTTACAACAAAAATATCACCATTCATAAAACAAAAAATGGGAGTTGTATCCATTGTTTATACCAAGTCGTAATTTAACTATGATTTAACCCTTGAAGACAATAAGAAGATTAATGTTGTAATATTTCGGATGAACTTATACATTTTTTATAAAACTTTAACACAGCCTTTACACGCATACTAACCCCGACCATCCACCAACAGACATAAACCATATAAAATGTATGCATGAACATGAAACATAGTTAGCTTAGAGTACAATTGCAAGTTTTTTATTTACTTCTTTAGTTTTTAGTTTAGTTTTAGAAAGAGTTTTACTGCACTTGCAACACAACAAGGTCATATAAGTGCCAAAGATTAGAGGTGTTACAAGAGAGTAAGGCTAAAACAGCACCTGGACATGGATGGCTGGTGCCTCTATAAATAAATCATTGATGATCAGGTACAAGAGAGTAACAAACATTAAAAAGGAGGTGAGAAAGACAATAAATGTTTGACAGGAAAGAAAGAGCAAACCACACAAGAGTACCAGCCAACTACCTGAAGAGAAAAGTTTAACTTACTTGACAGTGAGAGTATAATCGCCAGGAGTGGTAGAGTTGCGAACAAGGAAAGTTCCATCAGGTAAACCATTCAGTTTCTCATCAGCTTCCACCCTTTTTATCAAGGTAGAAAAAAACATTATTAGAATTTCATTACTTTGACAGGGACCGACTAAGTATTAGACCGATGATTGAAAGGATATAACTAAAAGTAGTCAGCTGGTGTCAAAAAGCTATAATTCTACATCTAGAAATATTTGTCTAAAAGAAGAAGGTATATATTAAAAATAATACGCTCAAATGTATAGCTACATGTTGCCACCTAAGTGCTTTCTTGTCGTATCTCCTTTATTTTAACAGGGAAAATGTGACTTCTTCTTTAGCTCACTCTTTGTTATGAACTGCTTTCACTGTTATTAAAAATGGAGATACGACAAGAAAGCATTGAGGTCGCGATGTATAGTGACATCATACTCAAGCAATGAGTTGAAGTTCCCTATAATCTAACCACAGTTTGATAAGTTGGCTAAAACATTCCCAGCAAGGGGTGATTAAAGTATAAGAACATTAATCTTTCCCAAAATCTAAATGAAAATAAACACTAACCATAATAAAGGAAACAGTTAGATGACACATATTATGATGATTGCTATACGAGTACATGCACCAATATACTTTCTTGTGTTTATGTTACTTAAAACTAACAACAAGATATAGCAGGTCAACCAAAGACTTCTTTTAAAAAAGGACAATATAGACAGTCCTATTACTTTCAAAACAGAGATCACCAGAACAACTCCCCCTCGTAGCTCTGATTTAAATAATAAGCACGTTGCTTGATGTGAGTCTGTATTGGAGGGCGCCATTACAGCTCTGACCGAGGTACCCAGCCACATGTGACACATGCAATTTTGAGAGTGAACGATTCTGTAAGGAATTGAAATTTTCTGTAATGGAAGTCAAATGGTCAGAAAGTACTTGAAGCAATAATTGTTGTTAAATTAAAGATTATGCAAAAACTCCTGGCATAACACATGTGTAACTTTTCAACCCGTCCTGATACTACAGGTGAATGAAAAAAAATGGTGAAATAGTATAGATTTATTCCCCCTATCAACACTGTTAGGTTATTCAAGAGGCGGGACCTCCGAGTTTAACGTCCATCTCCGAAAGGACCGAGCTAAAATGGGAAATTTGTCTAAAGTGCCTTTCCCAAGGGCACAACTTCAGACAAAGCAGAGGCTTGAACCCCCGAACTCGCAATCTCATGGTTACAGATCTAGTACTTTAACTACTAGGCTACAGACGCCACTTATGTAAACATCGATTAATGACAAAATATGTTGGTATAACAAAACTAACCTTGTCAAGGTACCCCAAAACCAAGATGGTGGACGGTTCTGACTATTTCCAAAATACTGTGTACTACCAGATGAGCCATGCTGGGGTGGTGGATTCACCGGTATCCCGTCATCAGGAAGCTCACCTACCGATCCAGCCCTTCTCAGACTTTTTAATATCTCAGATGGAATTCCTTGACTTCCCCCTCGACCTGAACGTCCAATTTGTACACTTTTGGATCTTCCATTAGTCACAAAATTAGTCTTACGAGCAGAGTCACGAGAACCCGACACAGGGCTCCCTGGACTAGATTCTTGCAGCTCATCAGGCAGCTGATAGTTTGGTGCAGATCCTTGTCCCAGCGCTGTTGTTGCAGAACAATTATAATATATAGAATCTGTAGATTCGGTTTCTTCTTGTAAGTCCTGACAGTCTTCTCCCACGTACACATCTAATCCAGTCGAAGGACGATGAGCTGTAGGGATAGGAGGTGGCTCACGAAACTGATTTCCAGTTCGCACCGAGCCAGCAGACGTAGATTTTCCATCACGGTTAGTCTGCAATGAGCTTCGCCTTTCTGGAATACGAGGAATGCCTAGTCTCTCAACTCGCTGAGCTAAGTAGTCAGCATTTTTATCCGAAGAACTCTGAAAAGAGAATACATATTCAATTATTAAAATCTATAAAAATTCAATAAAGGAAAGTACTGTATTATACTGGACATTATACGGGACTGAAAATATTACCAACGCTGCCTTGCTTATTCATTTTAACCCCAAAAACCCAAAATAAAACAAGAGTGTTCCTTATTCTTAAAGGCAACAGCTCCTCAGGGTTGAGAAGAAAAGGCCTTGTAGTATAAAGTTGATTCACCGAAGTAACTACCAGTTAAAAAAACTAGAAGGAAAAGTCATAAACAGTAACCCAATAGGGCAGTATTGTTTTTAATCTGACGATTTAGACTGTACCTACTGCTCTCAATAAGCACAAAAGAACTGTGTACTTACACCTGTAAAAATCACACTGGCATTAATTTGAAAATAAACAAGGAAAGGTAAAATTAAGAACAAACTAAATGGTGATTTGTTTGTAGTGAGTCTAACAACAAAACATATAATATATATATAGCTAATAGATGACAATACAACAGTAGCATAATCTTTAATATTCATCATCTAATATATCTAATGGTATTGTATCCATTTTGGCGAGAAAAAGGCAGCAAGTCCTTCCGTACAATTTGATCAGCCAATTCTTGTGATTTACTGCTGAGAGTTCCAGAGGGGACATGACACAAAGTAACTGTGAGCTTATACTAGATATAGAGCAGCTATGAAAACGTTTTTCATACACCACTGTAATATAAGAACAGATAAGGCATGTAGAGTATTTATATCAAAACATATAAAATAACATATATACTGGCAAAAATGAAATGTGAAATATTCTGTCACAGTATTTAGAAACACATTAGGCACTGTAAGCAATGAAAAATAGTTTACCTTTACGATCAAGACAAACAATGCAATTACACCATAAAGATTATATTGGATGATATAGCTTTTTTTATAAAGGTCTGCATATATTTAGACATTACAATTTACATCAAAGCTTCACTTATAAAAAGTTTGAGTTCTGTTAGTGCTTTCATCAAAAATTCTATTTATACAGCTTTTAACTTTACAAGTGCTTTAATCTCAAATGTCACACCATTGCTTTTTTAATAGTTTTTGTGCTTTCATGTCCAGTGTATCTTGTGTGCAGACAGTCCAGGGATGCCAGTCCGGTTCCCAGATCAGAGCAGTCACATCTTTTTTAGGTAGTAGTAGGTCTGTAAGAGAAGAGACAGGTACAACGCAATTGTTATTTTTTGTTTAATTTTAATATTAATAACAAAATGTATGTGTTATGACGTGGTGGAATCAGGCGCTCGTCAATTTTTGGGCACTTGGAGTTCTTGGAATCATCTTAAAGCTTATTTATATTTGTCTATATATTTCGATTTTAAAAATACCCATTTATTTTGAACAGATGTCGAGAGATTTGCTTTTGAAGGAGTGGGGTCGCCTGGTTTCAGATGTAAAGTAAGTGAGAAAATGGCCACCAAAGTTTGGTGACTTCTATAGTTCGAGAGTCCTTGGAAACTGCAAATTTACATTTGTCTGCCTTTAGGCAACGCTTTTCTGTAAAATCCATATTATATCTAGAAATGTGTTTTTTTGGGGTCTTTTTTGGAATGTGTTTTACTGCGCTCGCAACTGCATTAAAAGGTCATATGAGCGCGCGGGACAAACCAAACATTTTCAGTTGGCAGGAAATTATGAATTTTGCCCGGGTGGTGGCCGAAGTCTACTCTTATCAATTTCGGACCACTAAGGGATCCTTAATGTGTGCAACTTGCACACGAGACCTCCAAGATTTTCCATCCATGTCCGAGAAAGCTAGATGTAGATCAAAGACAGCAGTAAGAAGGTGCCAAGGAGTAGCAGTAGAAAGGCTGCAGAAAAAGTCAGGAGCTCAGAGGAGGGGGCAAAGGAGGTGAGGGGGAGGGGGCAGAAAGTGGAGACGAAAGCAGATGACAGAACATTGCTAGAGAGCAGAAAAGAAGGTGAAAGGAGACAATTTTACAGAAGAAATTTTTTCCGAGACCTTTGAAAGAGAGGCGAACACCTTAACCTCTAGGCCACGAGAGCCCCCAAACCTGTTTTTGAATGGATATAAAATATGTTTTAAAGCCAAAAAACAAAAATTTGATTTAAAAATTGGAATGCCGGAGGATAAATGCCAGTATCCTTGATTTTATTATTTTGACGAGCGCCTGATTTCACCACGATGCCTAACATAAATAATATATCACAAGTCTGAAAGACTTTTGCTATCATAAAAGATATAAACACAGAAAGTTTTTATTTTGTAGGCCAAAATACAATGGGGCAACAGCTCACACAACAGACATCATTCCCTTTACAAGAGATTTCTAATAACGTTAACCAGTTATCTAGAAAAAGACTATAAATTGCAAAATAAATTCATAAAAAAAAACAACTAATTAAATTACAATATCAAACACAAAAACATTAAAACTATAGTGCAGTCAAAAATTCATGGCTCAACTTATTCCTTAATAAATAGGCCTACTAATAAAAAATCCAAGTGGGTGGTTTCTACGGATTATAAAATTTAAAGGTTTACAGCTGGGGGAATATATCACTTTTAAAAGCAAGTCTGTCATTTTTTTCTAATGGCGACATAATGCTATTGAAAGCAAGTTTAGAGAATTTTAGTGAAAAAAAGACGTGTTCACTATAAAATTCATTTCTTGTACATAACAAGTTTTGCCACTAAAAAGTGCCATTGGTGAAATGTGACGTAGGCCACAAGTACAAAATAAGTTTGAGAAGCGGAAAGTGCTGTGAACAATCATATTTTCCGCATAACGGAGAGTTACAGTATCTTATTATAAATTTATGGAGAAAACGTTTTAAATCTAGCCTCAATTGTTGTGGAAAAATATGATTTTAAGTAAAAGACAAATATATTATATATATATAAGTGTCACGACGCGGTGGAAACAGGCGCTCATCAATTTTTTGGCATATGTATTGGTATCATCTTAAAGCCTGTCCATTTGCTTTTCTTTCAATGAAAACAATACCCTATTTTGGATACAATCTGCGATTGATGGAGGTGGGGTTGCCTGGTTTCAGAGGTAAAATTAGCGAGAAAATGGCCGCCAAAGTTTAGTTATTTCCTTAGCTTGAGAGCCAGTGTAAACTGAAAATGTACATCTTTTATAATGCATTTTATCAACGTTTTTAAGTAAAATCCACACTGAAATGTGTTCTAATATAGGCATAAAAGGTGTTGAGCCGAAAAACAAAAATTCAATAAAATGTCCAAACTGCGAAAAAATGCCAGTTTCTTCACTTTCATTATTTTGACCAGCACCTGATTTCACCACGCTGCCTCACATATTATATTTTATTCCATATTACATTATATTTCCAGCCTGCCAAGGAAAGGAGAAGGTTAGGTTTGCTTCTTTTGAGGGGAGGGGGAGGGGGGGGCAAGGGAGAATGTCCCAATGGCAGGCCCTAGTACAATCTATAGGAGAATTAGGTTACAGAGAGGCTTTTCAATCACCACACTTCTTATATAATCACTGCTGGTGTAAAAACTTACTGGACCGTGTAACCTACAAATCTGGTTTCAGGCCAGGTGTAACCTTTATGCTCATGCTATTGAGTGCCTAGGACTCGAATACACCAGTTGCTTCAGTGAAAGTAAAAGTCTGTCAAAATAATTATATTCTCAACTTACTTAATAAAAACTTCATTTCCCACAATTCTGGAACAGAACATACAGCGGTGGTCCCACAATTCTGGAACAGAACATACAGCTGTGTATGGAAAATGGGGGGTCATGTAATAGTGACCAGGCCGTATATGTGTCAGGCGCTCGTCAATTTTGGGGCATGTGGAGTTATTGATAAACAATAATTTGAAAGCTCATCTCTATTTCCCTTGCTTCTTGTCTAATGAAATAAATTATTAAAAATAAATTTAAAACTCAAAATATTTGTGATTGAAGGAAGTGATGTCGCCTGATTTTAGGGGTGAAATTAGCGAGAAAAATGCCACTAAAGTTTGGTAACTCCAATAGTTAAACAGTCTTTAAAAACTGAAAAATGACATATTTTGTGCCTTTAATCCCTGTATTTCAGTAAAATTAAAATGGAAAAGTGTTTTTATATTTATGGACATAAAAAAGGTTTTAATTAAACTAAAAAATAAAAAGTCAACGCATAAAAATGTCTAAACTGGCGGAAAAATACAGACCATGACTAAAGCGGCACCCGCTAAAGCGGGACCATCCCTACAGCGGGACCTTACCGGGATCCTCGTTTTTTTTCTAGGTTTTAAACTCAATTACCTGTGCTCTGGTTTTGCAGGCCCAAACTGGGATACAACGGGAGAGATCGGGCCAGCTCTAGCTGGGGGGAAGAGTTTTGGGGGGCTGTAGGTGGGCTCTAAACAGGCAGTCTGCTGTGCGGAATTATTGGACAGTCCAGTGATGGGTGAGGAGGGGCAGGCGGCAGAGAAAGATGGTGCGGAGAGTCGCATTATGTGAGCCACTCCAAAAGTGATGTGCCGTAGCTTAGACGCTCAGTATGTACCTGTACGATAGACAGCACAAGTAACGGGACCGAGGAAAAGATGGCTTCCAACAAAGAAAAAAGGAACTTCTCACTCGAATTAAAGGCCGAGATAATTTTAACGAAGTAGACAATAAAAGGAAGACTAATCTCAGGCGCAAATTTAACTGATATGGAAAGGAGGTAATCGTGGATTTTTAGATAATTTCCAGTAATTTCCCCTGTGCGGGAACTCGCCTACAGCGGGATTTTTCTTCTGGAACCAAAAGTCATAGAGCTGTGTTTTACTGTACCCGTTTTTCTGATTAGATGAACACCCCATTTCACCACGCTGCCTCTCATAGTATAGGACTACAGGTAGGCTATTTGTCGCAACATGGTGGAATCAGGCGCTCGTCAATTTTTTGCCAAAGTTTGGTAACTTCTTGATCTGAAATCTAGATTGAGAGTCTTTGAAAACTATAACCTTAAATATTTTTTGCCATTGATCAACGTTTTTCAGTAAAATTCAAATTATATGAAAGAAGAGTTCTTCTTGAGCCAAAAAACAAAACTCGATAAAAATATGGTCAGCTCTAATTCTATTTTTCTGAACGCTCAGGAAAATTTAACTTGAACTCTATTTTTCCGAACGTCTGCTAATGGAGTGGCCCGCGTGCGCGCATGTGTGTGTGAGTGTGCGTGCGTATGTGTGCGTGGGTGTGTGTTTGTATGTGTGTGTGTGTGTGTAAGGTGAGAACGGGGGTGAGGGTGGGGGGCGTGGGGGCTTGGAATAATATTTTTTTTGTAGTTTTTGCTTTACAAAATTAGGTTACCAAAGTCGAGCAGTCAATTGTTTTCTCGCAGACCTTTTGAAGGCATTTCAAATGAAGTATAGTCCGGGAACGTTTCCCCAACCAAGTAAAGTAAGTAAGTTCAATTGAAGTGTAGTATTGTCTGAATATTCAGATATCTAAAAAATCTCTAGATCTAGATCTAGCAGCTCTAGAAATTGAATTCGATGCAAAAAATGCTACTTTTCTTCCCAGTCATTGCAGAATGGCAGAATGAAGATGACGCCGATCTCACGCAAATTAACCAACAAACCTTGAGAACGGAAACCGTTGAACGGAGAAATAGAGATCAGGTTTATTTTCCCGAGCAATCGGAGAAATGGTCACTTCGTAAAAATTGCCAAACAGAAGGAAAATTACCTGTTTAATATTCAAGTCTTCGATTCCATATTTTGACGAGCGCCTGATTACACCACGATGCCTCACCAGAGGCCAAGACAATGTCTGTAAAGCAGTTAATTCACTTTGAGTGACTTTGTAACTCAGTAAAATAATAGCCTAAACACGTTGAAATCTAGATCATTTCTAGGCCCTAGGCCAGGCTATCTAAATTCAATATACACTCGTTGACATACTGTATTGCCACTTCGACTTCAGGAATACCGGTGGACCAAGATCAAAGTCGCTTTATTAATTTTAAATTATACTTCAACACGATCACAAAAAAGAAAGAGTAGTAAGGCAGTTAAAAAATGCCAAACAAGGAAGTGTAGATCTAAATCTAGTCTAGATCTAGATCTAGATCTAGAGTACATCCTGTGGTGCGATATACAGTAAGCGATCTTTTGTGGATATCTCTGGAAGTTACAGGTCGATCTTCATGATTTTTTCACCAGAAGTTAG